TTTTTTTTTTTGTCTTTTTGTCTTTTTCCGTGTCCGGCAATGGATCGCAACCCTCAGTGTTGCCCCCGTACCGGACCGGGGACCGGCAACGGGATCGCAACCCTCGGCGTTGCTCCCGCGCCTCACTCAGCCAGTGAGCGGGAACCGGTCTGTATGTGGGATCCGAACCCTCGGGTGGGAGCGCCACCGCGCTTCCCAAGCGGCGCACTATCCAGTGCGCCACCGGGCCGGCCCAAAAGACTCAGCTTTTGAGTGAGGTGTTATGACATCAAGGTCAAGGGTTTGGATCAGCATACTGGCTAGCTGCCAAAAAAACAAACAAAAAAAGAGTTCGCGGCAGTAATACATGAAAGTGCAGTATAAATTTTTTTTTTTTCTTTGATAGAAATTTTCCTACTTTCATCTTAGGAAAATTCCTGATATTTGCATTGATTCTGGTATTTGCTTTGCAGGAATTTATGTTGATGCAGTTAACTCCCTGGGCCAGACAGCACTTTTTGTTGCAGCATTATTAGGCCTTACGAAATTAGTTGATGTTCTGGTGGATTATGGATCAGATCCAAATCAGTAAGTATGTTAAATTCAATATCTAGAAAATAAGGAGTGTGCTTTTGAGATGAGCTGGGGCATTGGAAACTAATTTGACAAAATATTAAAAGAAAATAACTTATGCTAATTTTTATCAATGAAATACCTGTATACATTTGAAACATTTTAACTGGTGATAAAATTTTTCTAAGCAATTAAACTGTGCCCTATGAAATGATTAAGTGAGATTAGTCAATTAATTAATTAGTCATTAACAGTTCTGTCTCCATATTTCCACCCCTTGATTATAATTTGTATTATGTATTATTCACATAAGCAGTTTAACATCCCCATAACCAAGTTCCTCACCAATGAATATACTTGGCATCACTTTGTTGGAAAGGATGATTTTTTCGCCCTTTTTTTTTTTTTTTTTTTTTTTAAAGACTATTCAACTGCAGTAGTGAAAAGGTGGGACAGGGGGAGAGGAAAGAGTAGAACAATTGAGATAACTACCTTTGGACTCACCATGCCTGACTTTTATAGTTGTGGTATAAAAGAATCAGGGTTTCATAGTTGGTTTAAATTTTAGTATGGAAAAGCAACACAATGTAATGAGTCAGAGACGTGAATATCTCTTCTTGTTGCAAAGCACTTTGTTTTTTCCCAGGGCCTTCCCAGTACTAGTTCACTTGATCTTGATACCACTTCCTTGACAGGGCAAGGAAGGCAGGTATTTTTACATTTTCCATTGAACAGAACCAGAAACTGGAGTTTTGAGCACCTGTGTGATTCTATTTGATTTTTACAGGAATGCCAGAATATGAACAATCATGTCTTTCCCATCGTATGTAAGGAGGCCCTGTTTAATGTACTTACTTTAAAAAAAAAAAAGTATTGATGTTGGAAGGATTTGTATTTGGTGGGGGGAGGAGGGACCGATCATAAGATTGCTAAGTGGGAGAAGACTTGGAAACTTGGAAAAGTATAAAGAAAAAAGCTAAATCAGTATGAGAATTTTGTAACCTAGAAATAACGCAATGAGCATTTTGTTGTGCTTCCTTCCAGAATTTTTGTAGACTCACATACACTCTACTGTCTCTACTGTATTAATGTTTAATTTTAAAACTCAGAAAGGGCTCGTTCACCTGATATTTGCAGATACCAGCTTTGTAGGGAAGCTTTACTGGGACTTCCTGCAGTTCCCCAGCAAAAATGCAACATTTTTTAGTCATCTGCATTTATATCTGTTTCATCCAGGCGTAGAGCTTGGTTCTTTAAAGATCAAATTATTTAATCTTTAATTTTCCAGATTAGAGAACTGAAACCTGTTCTAAGTGACTATCTCATAATGGTGCATGGTGTTAATGGTACAGCTTGAGATCAGGACCACAGTCCCTAGTGTCCCTAGTGTCCCTAGTACCAAGATTCCAGCCCCTGAAGTACTCAGAGTTTAAATAAGTCTCTTTTGAGAGGTGGCCATGATGCTAGGAAAGAGGTGCAAATGGACAGAAACAAGGGGAGGAATTCAAACCCCCATGGTTTTATATTTTGTGATTAAGAACATTTTCATGTGACTTTAGAAATATCTTCTAATCAAGATGGAGGGAAATTTCTGAGAAGAGGCTTTATTCCTAAACATTCAGTGGAAGTGCTTTAATGGCCTGGGCCTGTTGAAGTCACAAAATCAGTTTCTTACTGGACCAAGTGGGAGTCACTGAATACAGGCTCTAAGGAGGGTCGGGCATCTATGGCTGCTGCGCAGGAAAGGGAGCCAGAGAGGACAGATCTTCCAAATTTCTAAGAGCTGGAAATTCCAATTTTTAATGTGAAATCCCCCAAATGTTAATTATTGTCTATTATTTCTAATTTTAAAAAACACTGTGTGGACCAAATAAAACACACCTCTGGGTTGCCCAGATCAGCGTGAGGGACTCTGGTTGTCAACCTCTAGGGTAAATTAATAAAACAGTACACATTTTGATATTACTTGGACCTGGATTATCTTGTAAAGTTTAGTTGGGCATAAACCATTGTTTTTTTTTTTTTTTTCCTTAGCTTTCATGAGAAGTGAAAAATAATATTTTTTCTCCCCCACCCACCTTTCTTACTGTTTGTGGGAGGAATGATTAGAAGACTCAAAACATTATGCAAAGTTGTTTTTGCAGCAAGGAGGTTATTATGGTTTCCACCATGCGTTGTGCCTGGACTGCTGTCTGACCCAGCAATGGGAGAGAGCCAACTGTGAGAACCACTGGGGTCAGTGGTTCCCAGATATCTGGGTGTAGGCCATCCTCATTAGTGTCACTTGGGAACCTGTAAAAAACACACATTCCTGGGTCCTGTGCTTGCAGATTCTGATTCAGTCAATCCGGGATATAGTCTGAGAATCTGTGTTTTTAACAAATATCTCAGTGGCTCATTAACTAAATTATAGTACATCCATATGTTGGAATACTATGTAGCTGTTGGCAAGAATTGAGGTGGTTTGTATTTTCTCATATGGAAATTTGTCCAAGATATATTGTTAAGAGAAAAAATTTAGATGCTGAACAGTTTATATAGCATATTCTTATTCTCTTGTATATACATCGAAAATTTCTGGAAGGATACAAAAACTTGCAATAGTTGTTTCTGGGCAAGAGAATTGGGTGTCTGGAGTTGGGAGACTTTTTCCTTATCATTCATTTTTTTTTTTCCTTTCTGTCTTTTTTTTTTTTTTTTGTCTTTTGTCTTTTTCCGTGTCCGGCAACGGATCGCAACCCTCAGTGTTGCCCCCGTACCAGACCGGGGACCGGCAACGGGATTGCAACCCTCGGCGTTGCTCCCGCGCCTCGCTCAGCCAGCCGCGCTTCCCAAGCGGCGCACTATCCAGTGCGCCACCAGGCCGGCCCTCCTTTTTGTCTTTTTTCGTGACTGGTAATGGGATCGCAACCCTCAGTGTCACGCCCGTACCGCGACCGGCAACGGGATCGCAACCCTCGGTGTCACGCCCGCACCGCGCTCAACCAGTGAGCGGACCGGTCTCTATATGGGATCCGAACCCTCAGCGGGAGCGCCGCCGCACTCCCAAGCGCCGCACTCTACTGAGTGCGCCACCGGGCCGGCCCTTTCCTTATCTTTATCTTCTCCTCTTTCTCATCCTTCTCTCATTTTCTTTCTTCCTCTTCTTTTTTCTTCTCATTCTCTTTCCCCTTCTTCAATCTCCCATTTGTGCTTCTTTATCAATTAAAAGGAGAAAGCTCCCCAGGTGATTCTGATGTGCATCCAGGTTAGGAAACCACAGCTATACATCACATCTTTACTGTATCCTGAACACAGTAAAGACCGTCCCTTCTTTCTCTGAGGTGTACATCCTTGACTGGATTGCTGGTGCCAAGGTTATGTGGGCCTCTACCACAGGATTTGGGGGACAGAGATATTCTCACATGAGAGGGATGGTCCCTGGTTATGTTGTACTTGACCAACCTGATTCCAGGACACTGCAGACATGAAAAAATTGTTTTAGGGCAGCCAATATCAGGGGGTGGTGGGGAAAGAACATTGAATTTGGAACCAGACCTATACCTGGGTTGAATGTCAGCTTTGCCCTTTTGTTTCCTCATCTGTAAATTGGGAAATGATACGACCTTGAAGGGTTGAGGTAAGGATGGAATAAAGGGATGATGTGTATAAAGCGTCTGTTGGCACAGACCAGGGTCCTCACTGATGATATTATTATAATCCTCATTGCTAAAAATTCCTTTTGTGGAACGGGAGCCCCATGTGACGTGTTGAATCCCTTCTTTTTTTTTTTTTTTTTTTAAAGATGACCGGTAAGGGGATCTTAACCCTTGACTTGGTGTTGTCAGCACCACGCTCAGCCAGTGAGCGAACCGGCCATCCCTATATGGGATCCGAACCCGTGGCCTTGGTGTTATCAGCACCGCACTCTCCCAAGGGAGCCGCGGGCCGGCCCTGAATCCCTTCTTTATGGAAGGAAGGAGTGTCAACATGTACGTTCAC